TTTTTATAGGTTTTATATATAGGTATTGGGTACAAATACTTTTATCATCCTTGTCTACGATCACAGTTTTCATTTCTAATGAGTGAACACGAAGTTTCAAATATTAATTATCAGTTTTAGAGTTGTCAATTTAGACATAGTTCGATGGACTAAGTCACAAATTATATCAGTTTGAAATGATGACCCAAATAAAATCAAGCCATTTTGGACCAATCCACTAAGTCCAACAGGTTAAAGGAGTCCAGGTCAAGTTTACCTGCAAGTTTAATGGATGACTTATTAAATTAATAAGAAAAATAATTTGAACTATTGTCATTTTCAATCTATAAATCTTCAATATATTATAAAATAATAAAATAAAATATAATAATAGTAATAATCTTTTACTCTTTTGTATTTGCTTATAAAATTTTGGTTACAAACTTAAAATTAGGGTTAATTGTTGTGAGAGTTTCTCTAGTCCTGATTAAGGTACTAATCATTTAAGACATAATATTATTTGTTAAATGTAGTGAATCTCTTAAGTACCAAGATGTTGGATAACAAAGTCGTGAAAATTTAATCATTAGACTTATAGAGATACACTTATTGGGTGTATTACCAAGCATGATCTTCCATATATTTATGCTTATTTAAAGATGTTTAGATAGAGAATAGAGTGTTAAATCATAGTTTTAAACCCAAATGTAGAAACATTTCAACAATTAATCGCAATAAAGTGTTTTTAATTGAATGTGAAAAATTAAAAAATGTATTAACTACTATTTCATGTAGAATATGCTTGACTTCTAATATATAGACATCTATAACTACCCACAATTATACGATTGTGGCTGACTGACTAATCATCTATAACTAGTATATAATATTAATTAATATCATATTATAATTTTTAATTTTTCATTATAAAAATATATTTAATTTTTTTAATTAGACCAATTTGACTTGTTAACTTGATGACTGGACATGGATCAGATTAGACAAAAAATAAGAGTAATTTTTTTTAGGTGAAATCAACCTAATCTAAAATAATATTTCATCCATAAAAATTAAATTTTACTAAACTACCTATTTAACACTTTTATTTCATCTTCCTATAATTGTTTTAGTTTTCTCCCTCAATATCCATTATGAAGTGTCCTCTATATATTTTCATGGGTAGACCATTTCACTAATCTCAAACCTTAGCACACTGTTTTTAAAGGATTTCAAAAAGATAGAAGTAGAGCAAAGAGAGAAGTAGAAGAGAAAATGATATTTTTGGTTATTCACACTGCACCAAAATTAATTTTTGTGGCAATTAATTTATTATTTAGCGGCCATATAAATGACCATTATTTTTTTACCAGCATTTAAATAAAGGCTGGTGTATCAAATGTCGTTAATACTATTACCGACATTTATATAAAATGCTGGTAAAGATCTACTAAATTGTCGGAAAAACTTATTTTTTTAGTGGCAATTCTAGTAGCCATTTTAAAGGCTATTAAAAGTTATTTTTTTTTCAATTGTATCCTTTACTTTAAATAATTTATTCCTATAATTTCCTTTTCTAAATTCATAACTTATATACTTTTTTTTATCTCTACTCGATGTGAGATTTGTAAGATGAGGGTTGTCTTTTATTTATATATTTTTTAATTGTCTTGTCTCTTAAGAAATGTGAGATTTATAAGGTGAAAGTTGTTCTCTAATTGTTTTATAACACTATTGAATTTGGTAATAATGGTGATTTGATATTAATTTAGATAGTGAATTAGGAGTCAACCCTATAAAATGAACTTGTAAGGTGATAATTATTACTTACTTATATACTATTTAATTATCTTATTTCTAATCAATACGGGACTTAAGTTTTTTCTAATAAATAATTGTCGCTAGTAAACTTTAATGTAATATAAATACATTTTTAGTAATTATTATATATTAGCCATTAATATTTTTATATATGACAGCAATTAAATTATTATCATTAAATAATTGTCGTTAATAACAAATTTTGTTGTAATGTCAAAAAGGTAGAAAAGATAAGCAAGAAAGATGTATGTGATGAAACCCACACAACAATAAACTCTCTCCTCAAGAAAAGAGACTTTCATGAAAGAAAAGAAAAAATATTTTTTTTGGGGCTACTTAAATGTAATGACAAATTTAGCCTTTTGTTTTTTATTATATAAAAAAAATATAAGGATAAATATGTTATTATACAATTATACTTACTTTACTTTTTATACTACTTCTGTCTTATTTTTTCTTAAATCAAACAATTTAAAAACTAACTTATTTTATATTCATTCTTTCTTGTCTTTCTTTCTACTGCACTTTTTTCTTCTTATTTTTTTTCTTACCCAAACAAAGCATAAGAAACAGGATTATTAGATTTTGTTTTCAACGCTTGATTTCAACTTCTCACAGTTAACGATTAGCTCATTTCATTTGTAGTCAATTAAATTACTTTGTTCCCCCACCTCTAACAATATTTTTTGTTACAAGACGTAAGTTAATCAATTTCTTTAAATTTTTGAGTTTTTTTTTTCTTGCTTATTTAATGATTTCATAGGCATGATACTTTCTCTCCCTCTCATTATTACTGTCGTTCACAACTTTTTTTTTTTTCTTTTTTCTTTTTCCTTCTTCAGTAATACCATAACAGTGAGTTTCCACTGGGTTGTCTATATCCAAATGAAATACATGAAAATTATTATTCGATAATCTTTGTAATTGTATACTTTTTTTTTCCTTGTTTTTTAATCGTTTTATTTTAACATTTTGCTATTTTTTTATTTTTATATTTATCGATGACTTACAATACTACTTTTATCCGGTGTTGATCCGGACATTTCATCGATCCCGAGTAAAATAATAAATATGAGTTTCTATATATATAAACATATTACAAAAAATACTATAAATTATGATATATGTGTTATTATCTATATAATATATGTAAATATAAATTTATTTGATATAATTACATAATTTTAATAATGATTTTAAATGAGATTTAACAACATATTTTATATGTCACTATAGTTTATGCTTATATTTTTTAACAATGTATCAACATATATAGTATTTTCTAGTGTAGTTAAAAAATAATTTTTAATAATAATTTTAAATGAAATTTAACAACATATTTCATATGTCACTATAGTTTATGCTTATATTTTTTAACAATGTATCAACATATATAGTATTTTCTAGTGTAGTTAAAAAATAATTTTTAATAACAAATATTGTATTACTATATGACAATTTTTTGGTAGTGACATTTTAAAATATAAACATTTATAACATAATATGTGTGTGTGATTTAATTAAAGTTTAATATATCATTTGGTTCTTGATTTTTTTTTAAAATTTTAGTTAGGTTTCCTGTATTAAAAAAATTATAAGCAGATCTTTATTTATTTTTTTATATATTTTTATAATTTAGTCCTTGAGATTATTTGTTTAGTATTCATGAAATTTGACAAAACATTCTTTATATCTCGTATTTGGACAACCATATTAAATTAGTATTTCAATCATCCATGTATAATAAGTTGTAATCTCTATATGTTAAAATTTTCTACTTTCATAATTTTTATATGATTAATACTATTACAATAATTTTTACAAGAAAATTAAAACATGTTAGATATGAATGATGATATATAGAATAATAATATGATATGTCTATGTATGTATGATATAAAAATATTATGTCATGTTTCACAATTGGTAAACAAAATTTTAATCTTATGGACTAAATTAATATATATATATATATAAAGTTTAAAAACTCAATTACAATTTTTTTATCAATTTAGGGACTTAATTAAATACTCCTAAAATATTTAGAGTTTGAATTATGTATTTAATTTTTAATTAAAAATAACATATTTTATTGCATTTATAAAATAATAGTGTTAACAAATCTTAAATAGGTATATTCATTCAATTTACTTTGTACTATTATTTATAATAAAATGTTATATCAATATTTTTTAATATCAAAAGTGTTACATCACCAAGTTAAAATGACTAAAATAAGACAGCATTTTTTTATACTAAAATCAAGTTTTGAAAAAAAAAAATTATGACTAAATTAAAATGTATTTTATCCTTTCATGAATGTAATAAATATAAGAAAATAAAAACTAACAATAAAGATAGCAAAGCTTTTTATTTTCACAAGGTTTAAAATAAAAAAAATAATCTTATTTACTTTTTAACACAACATAAATATTATATATATATA